CCTCTCGCCAAAGCTGCCGCCTCTAGCACAGCGTCGGCCACCTCCACTGAGGCGTCAGATTTCTCTAAGGCCATCACTAACAGCTCAGCTCTCAGAGGCATGCCATCACCATCTACGGACTTCATTATGGAGTGCAGCATATCTGGGAGTAACCGAATCATGTGATGCTAGAACGATGGTCGGGTTCAACACGGCCGCACGATATGTCAAGTACTTTGGAACAGCTGAGCTGTTAGAGAAGCGTCCGTTCCATCTTCGGTCGGCCCTGGTTCACCAACGGGAAAAGGTAAGGTGCAGAAAGGGTCACCAAGCGTAGTTGTACAGAGCAACTGATGGGAGGACTTTACATGCGTAGTGCTCTCTTAGCCACCTGCAGGTAGAGTTTGCCATCTTGGCCAGGGAAGCCTCGTAAACCCATCAGTTTAGGAGATCCTATCTCGCTCACACGGGTAAGCTCAAGTAGGATGGCGCTGAACGGTTTGGACGGAAGTTCCATCAGAAGTCCGTTGATGAGGTTTTCGAGCAAGTTGATATCACCATTGTCAAGCATTGGGTGAGAAGCTTCCTGTAAAAGACCCTAGGCACATGTTCTTATCTTAACGATCCGTTATAACCACGGTGATCGTTATGCTACGTAGAGCTCGCAAGCTATAGGGCGATGCGATAGGATTTATGGTATATGCATCAATAGGGCGTCATAGTGAGGAATGCTCATCATCGTCAAGTGCCGCTAGGGCTCCTTAAATAGGTTGGAAGATTGACCACGCCGAACCGTCCCAGTCCAGCTAAGAACCCTTTGGCTCGTGAACCTCCGTATTTATGAACCATACACCACCCCGGTTGTTTATGCGCCTTAAATTTGGGAACTGCTGACGGAGCTCCCAAATGCTGTGTTACAGGTTGACTCGTAATTAGCAATACTTGAGTACTTCCCAGAACTACAGCTAAAACCAAGGGCCTGAAACTCACGTAGGCCTATGTTACTTGCCCACCGAGCCACAATCTTGGGAGACCCGAGTTCAAATCCCGGGCAGGGTATTCTTCGTCAATCATCACGTCACGACTGTATCACTGCGTGCAATGTCAAGTTCCCTTGTGCACGTATCCATAAGCCGTGTATTGCGGATCTCGCATCAATGGTATGGTAGAATGTTGGCGATGTGGTCGCCACTCGGTGGTTTCCAACTCGGCAACGTCAGTGATGTGATCATATCCAGTTCGTGCTTCTCGAACATCGATAGTACTCGCAGTAGACCGTATACCTTCCCCCCCCCCTGCCATGCCCTCTAGAAAGCGGAGCCGCTCAGAGGAGAGGGTGACGTCGCCACAAGGGAAAGAGAATAGCAATGAGCAGAACGTGGAGCCTTCTCCTTCCTCTCCTCCTCACTCCAAGAAAAGGACCAAGGCATCGAATAAGCCTGCTGCTAAGGAGAAGGGTGATGTTCCCTCGAAGGTTGTCAATGTGGCCTATGGAGAAGTTAATAAGAAGGGTGAGAAGGTCCCTATGACCACCGTTGAGCGACACAAGAAGGGCAAGGAAGACTTCACAGCA